AGTAGTTTTTACAAAAATGTGAGTTCTTTACTAATCCTTAACCAGTTGAACATACATTCTTATCAGATCTTTTCTTCATTTCAATAAAAGAATCCAAACAAAAATTTCTTTGAGGAATCAATTCAGTCTTAGTCATGAGAATAGAATCATAGAGCAGCAGCATATCCCAATTTCATTTCCGGAGTCGAGTCAGCATTTTCCGGATAATTAACTCTCACATGGCTCATAAGGTACTTTACAACATTTAGACAGATGTTACGGGTATTTCTTTTTGTACAAGTATAGTCTTAACGGATAGAAAATTCGGTTTTCTCGTTATAGATAGAGACTCAGCCCTAGAGTTCCGGCTCAGAGAGGTACGATTGCAGTCTAGGGGTATGTATTGATCATGCATCTTTTTGAAATTCGACCGACCGGTCTTTCTTGAAAATTTTGACTCAAACCAAAGCTCTGATACCACTAAATGTAACCCCCCTCAGATCGATGCGGATAACCTGATCCGATCTGGAGTGTCACATTAGGGCCACAGGAGCGACCCACCGTAAAAATAGGGAAAAATTTAAAACTTTTTATCATAACATGTAAACTTATAAAATCATGTATCAATATTCAAAAAATAAAATAGATTTTCAGACTCGTACAGAAAACAAAATTCAATTACATGCCCCCTAATAATATGTACCATATTCTGTAAGCAACACCGAAAGAACTCCTTTGCTGATGTTGATAGATGTACTGGTACAATTCTTTTAACCTGCAATGGTGAGTAATAGAGTGAGCTTCGAAAAGCTCAGTAATACAAAACTACCAGATGATGCTGCAAGACATGCCGATAAATGGAAAGCCATATCATTTCTTATTTACTCAAACGTATATCGGTTTTCGGAATAATCTGGTGTTCTACTGGTAGTTCAACAAATAGAAGTCATGAATATCTCAGTTCATTGGAAATATTTCATAGTATCATGTTTTTAGGAGATCGAATAGGATGTCTAGTGTGTTCCAATCAAAACCAGTGAAAAGATATAAATCTTTTAAAAACCCTAGTGGAACCCTCCAACCAAACTCCATTATGCAGTTCCCCAAAACTACGTTCGTAGGGCTTACCCTAAGCACACAGTAAAGGGAGCCAACCTAAGAATATGCCTTGGGGCCCATGGGCCTACCCAAGGGTATCCTTAGGTCCGTAAGGCCAGTTGGATCAGGGTTGTGCCTCCATACTCCAGAATTCTATCCATATACAAATCCAGTAGAAATCAATTTTAGCCATAAATCGTAATATATGGACCGTTATCTAGTAATATGCTATGATCATAATAATGAAGTAAACCGTATAATTGATTTCCACCTGTACACTATAAGTAGTTCCATGATTAACTCAAGGGAGTGCCTTGGGGCCTGAGAGCCAACCCAAAGATTCCCTTAGGTCCGTAAGAAATTTCCAGCTTGATCAGAGCTGTACCTCTAGTCTACCCATATAATATCCCAGTAAAACAGTTCGAGTATAACCAGTGAAACATAAAACCATAATTCATAAACCAGTAGTTTCCGTGATTTCATAAATGAGAAACAATTTATATTTTCGATAAAACCATAATCATAAATCACTTACCATATTGCCATGGTTCATAAACTAGTAAATCAATACTTGTACTAAACTCATTTCAAAACATATAAAACTGTCATGTAATTCATTTGGAACACACTAGAGTATCCACATATATTTTTCAGAGGCATTTATCGTTATCAATAAGGACAACATGAAACTCGAGAAATTTGATCGGATTCCAGGAACAAGGTTGATACTTTAGAATCCCACTATATTTTCGGGTACATTAGGAAAGTGTTCCAGAATGCCTAGAGTGATTTGAGCTAATAAAAGAGAAACGAAGCTTCAAGACATTTACAATCCATGTTAATCGATCGGTTTATCGAACAATTCGAAATGAACAATCTCTCAGAACTAATGCATGTCGACCCGTCAATTTACTGGTTTTTCAGAGTATTTACTCTTTAATACTAACAATTCTTGCCAATAAATCATCTTTGAAATCATTGCTAAATAGATCTTTCAATAGTCTTTATTTCATTTCCATATTTCAACGATATCAGGAAATACATACGTACTTGATTCATGTTTTATGACCCATAAGGATAATTCATCATGTAAGTTCAACAGTGTTCCCAAACTCATCTAATCAGCTATTTAATCATCAGTCATTGAGGTTAGTCATTTCGTTTATCAGTCAAGTCTATCTCGGTTGCTTCATAGCTTTCCAAATAATCCAGACGTTTCTGAATTTCAGATACATATTGTACTTCCGTTTAATTTAATTTGGTCTTCGTGGTTGATTTGTCTACAAATATCCATTTCTTATTATCGAATGCGACCTAGAGTTTAGTTGAGCTGAGTACTTTCAAAATTATCATCGAACCACACTTGAGAAGACGAACACACATTCAAGTAACATCTATACATTTCAGGTACTGACATATACACTAGCATTGATTGCTCGGCTTAATATGTGATCTATAACTTTTAAGAACAGTACCACATCCATGTTTATTTGGATTCCTTAATTAATCCAACATTTCTACTAATTTTAGGTTATAATGGTATTTTGGTCATTCTGGTGCTCAGTTTCATTCCATTCTTTTCAGAGCTCGAGGATATCCAATCATTCCTGAACTTGGTAATATTCTTGAGTCTTTTTCATTATAGGGGTATTCTGGTCATTTTATAGATCCGGTGTATTTCAATCTTTTCCTTCAATTCTGTCTTATTATTTAACTCCAACTTATCATTTATTCCAGACCTTTCAAATAATTCTGACAAAAGAGCACCCTCGATAATTTATTCTTAACTCGAAGATTTTCAGATCAATTGTCTTCTTAGTAGTTACCAACAGGTTATCAGAAATTTTTTGTACAAAGACAGGATCTTAACAATTAAATCCGTAATTCATTGAGTTAAGTACAAATCCTCAAAGTATTTTTTCATTCAGGGTCAACTCGAGCTATTTCTACCTTTCAAGAGTATTTTCGTAATTTCTTAATCAGATGATTTCGGTATTAACTCTTAACGAGCATACTTATAATTTAGAGATCCTATGGTTAGTTGTTTCCTCGAACATTCTCTGATTTTGAAATGATTCTTTAACAAACTTTTAGTATCTTGCATAAACCCTCTTGGGGTTAAAAACCGGTTATCCATAATTTCCAAGTAAAATTAACATTTCTTATGCACATCAATATATTTATCAAATCAATATGACTTCAGATTTATTAATCCACTTCCAGGGACAATTCTTGTCATTTTCCAATATAAGAGTAATTTTGTAATTTTACCTCATCAAAATATTCTCATAATTTCCCATCCAAGTACCTTTAACATGTAACCTTTGATGATATAAAATATAAGTTACAAATCCACTGTTGATTTTATTATCACTAATCACAAACTTGTAATTTAATTCGAACAATTCCTCAATCTCTTATATTAGTCATTCGATCTGTATTCAGTTACAGAATTTCTACCACATTCATATAGAGTGAATAAATTATTTAACTCCACAAAAGTGACCAACATTATCTTATTCATGCATTTACCAATATCAACATGTTCCATAAAGCATAAAGAGGTAGTAAAGTATTACCTCGATTTTTCGTGTCATACTGGTCGACCATTTAAATTCCATTCGAACGTCCTCGATCTTTGATTCAACTTCTAATATTTTCCTCTCGATTCAGACCATCAAAATTACTAACTCGTATCCAAATAATTTTCCTCTCCATAAAGATAGCTTATTAGAATTGAAATAATAATTTGGAAACCCAATTTGCATAACTAAAACTTGAAGAGCTAGTAATATTTAATTACTAACATCGTGGACTAAATTGATCTTGTAAAAACTATTATGTCATAACTATAACCACTTGGAAATTAAGAGACAAGATAAAGATCTCACCAAACTTGGATGTCATACCTTGTGGTTTACCCTTTTTTGCATGATATCTAAAATTCCCCACAACCCACGTGCTTTACTATTACTTCACTCCAGACTTTCTTTCACCCATACTTTCTTTACTTGTTTCCTCATTGTTTTTATTATTTTTTTCTTTCTCCTATGGAATTCATTGCAGACTTTCTTCAAAAGGGTCGTCTTCCCCACACCGCCTTGTCTACATAATCTAATGGTCCTATCATTTTCATTCTCAATTGCTTCCCGTGTCTTCTCAATTGCTTCTCATGCCTTCTCAACCGCAGAATCCAAGCTAACAGTGTTCTCCAATGGTCACTCGGGCATTAGAACCCGGTTACGTGGTAGCTTCAAAACGATGGCGGAGTTTGAGTAGAAATGCTCCGCCTTACGTAGCAGCTCGTCACGGAATCCAGCTTCTTAACGAATCGCTTCCCGATCTCGTAGGTGGACTTCAGGTTCCTAGGGCAGCAATCTCCTACACATTTGCTTTTGAGTTCATCATCGCCTTGTTGAACAATCATGTTCAGTTCGCCGAGCATGGTTTCTGTAACCCCTCATGAGAGAATTTAATATTACTCATAGCCCTGTCAGTGTTTTGCATCAATTCACGCATGAGTTCAGGGTTCCTTGCAACTTCTAATATCCATCAAAGAATGCTAGGATAGTTAAGTATATACCCAAGCTGTGTTGATTGCTTTACTATATGTTTTATTGGGTGCACCAAGATTATAATAAAAGAAAACAATCGAATTACAAACCGAAAGGATGAATCATAATTGTTTTCTCTGTCAGACTCCAAAGACTTTTGTCTTCATGATTGAGTTCGTATAATAATTTATTTTTTCAATTATGAAATGCCAAATCAACAATTTGTCCACTTCCACCTATTATAGTATTCTCAATTTGTTTAATAGTATAATGATATGATAAAATAATTATTTGCCAATCAATTTCATATCATTTCACATATTTAAACTAAAAGAAATCTAACCCTATTGAGGTGTGACAAGTCTCCTACTGACTTTGACTTGACTGACTGAAGGTTCACAAGCAGGGCAGCTTGGTTGGAAGATCCATTGATCTCTCAAGACTCTATGGATACGAAGACTTAATGACTGCACTAGAACGTCTTTTCAGTATGGAAGGTCTTCTCAGTGATCCAGGTAAAGGGTGGCGAGTTTTGTACACCGACAGTGAGAATGATGTAATGGTGGTTGGAGATGATCCATGGCAGTAAGTCTCACGCTCCTTGCTATGTTGGCTATCAAGCTTGTTGCATTAAAATATCTTTGCTGCTATGATGAATTTTTCGCTGTGTTTGCAGAGAATTTTGTAATGTGGTATCAAAGATCCACATATACACACAAGAAGTGGCTAAGATGAGCCTAGGAATGGGCATTGATGACACTCAAAGCTGTCTGGAAGAAGCAGCAGTGATAATGGAAGCATCAAAGTCTTCCTCAGTGGGGCTGCCTGATTGCTCCCCACCAGTCATAAGGGAATGAAGATCAGTGTTTTGCTATTAAATCCTGAAGCTATCTATCAAGTATTATTGATAGCTAAAAAGCGACCTTTTTGGTCCTATGGTGTTTGCCAATTGAAGTTACTCATCATCAACAATGTATGCTTCATCCATGCATTGTCTCGTACTAGTTCATTTCTAAAAGCCAGAAATGTGGAGATGATCCCACTTGAATATCCACTTAATATGCTTGTTGTTTTAAACCCGAATCATACTGAGTGGTACCAATCAATTTACAACACCAGGGTCGCTTGACATTATACAATGGATAAATTGGATCGCCAATATTGATCATACAAACTAGTGCATAAGCTTAATGGATACAACATTAAGGGCTTCGATTTGATCAAATATCATCTTACAAATAACTGGAATTTTAGTCTCAGCCTAGAGGCTATTTGATCCTGACATTTTTAAAACAGAGGCAAAACGGTGGATCTTTGAATTTTCCCTCCCCAGCCCCCCATCTGCATCCAAAGGGTTTTAAACCATTGGATCAAAATTCCGATTTGGTCAGAGTAAATCATACACTGTACAATTTAATAGGTATTCAATGTGGGTGAAGCAGATGGTAACAACCCAATTACAAGGCATAAATTAGAAGCTGCTCAATTGAATGCGCAATGTTAACATGTATAAAAAGCCTCATGCTCACCATTTAACCAAAAAAATTGGGAACTCGAATGTAGTAGAACCTCCCTGTAGCCAACTTTCTTTGTTTTTAGCCGAGCTTTCCTTCTGCAAATTTACATTTCATGTTGAACTGAAATGCCAGAACTTTCTTCATGAGTGATCACCACAGTTCTTCGTAAGATGATTCACAAGGTAGGGCCATTTTTCGACAAACTACTCCAATTACTCAGAATCTGAGTCAATAGAAAGATATCTCGGTCTTACAGAACGTTTTTGCCGAGGAAATAAGAAAGGGCTCTCTGATCTTTGCCTACTCGACTTCTCAGATCTATTGTTGTTCATGCCAAGTAGCAGAGAAGCTGCAGAAGGAGTGGGTAATACCAGTTATCAAACAACAGGTTGAGCTAGGCAATGCTAAAGCAGAGTGTATTAAGAATATTACAACAGATATAATGTGAACAAGAAGCTTATTTATATTTTTGTTAAAGATTTTTATTTAACTTTAATTATATAAATAATGTTTTGGCGTTGAGATGTTCCCTAATTTCATAGAACAAGCTTGAAGCCTTTCCTATTCGCTTTCTGTTATATGGAAACTTTCAAGCATAAGATACAGCACTAGATCTTCAAAAGAAGACGGAAACTAACCGGTGTCGGCCAAAGAACCCAAAGCATCATCTCTAGAAGGAATTCGCTGCCCTGAATTCAATCCATTTACAGTGACTGAATCCCCATGACCTTCACTGGCACCACCTCCAAGCCTAAGCGAAATCCAATCATCTGTCCGAAGGCCATTTGATGCATCTGCTTGATCTCTCAAATCTGACTGTGGTGATACAACTGAAGGACGGGTTGGAAGAAATATCTGGAGAGAGGGGTCTTCTCCACCAAACAAGGTATTGTCAACCAAGCTATCATTCATATCCATATCAGTCTGACCAATGGAACCAGGAACAAGGGTTGCAGATCCCATTGTTGTCTCAGGAGCCATTGTATAGCCATTCATCAATGGAGGAGAATTGAGAGAATTATGCTGCAGACCAACTAAGGAATCTGAGACGTCTGTATCTGTACTAAATAGTTGAAACCCAGAGCTTTCTTGTGTTCCTGGAGGTAATGGCCATAGAGGCATGCCAAATTCATCATTAGGATTAAAAAGACCCAAACTACCTGCAGACCCGAGAGATGGATCTTCTGCATATTGATGAGAAATTCCAGGAGGAGCAACTGGAAAATTAAATCCAGCAACATCAATATGATTATCCTTATAGGCAGTAGCAGGTGATATCAATATTTCATTCTCTTCATCTGAATCACTAAGAACAATAACTTCTGCATTTCCGGCTGGTCCAGTTAGATTTTGATAGGTAAACTCATATGTTGAGTCTATGTTCAGAGGCAGGGAATCAAGTTCAATTCCATTGCTTGTGAAGTCATAAGTTCCACCACCATCCTGATTCACACTGGGATCTTCACCATCCTTAACACTTCCATTAGCACTGCTGCTCATAGGGATAACTTTTTGCTGGTATTGTTCAACCCTTTCATGTAATCTACTACCAGAAGAGGTGTTCAAATCTTCAGGCTTGCTAACTTCCCAAAATCCATTGCGATTTTTCCGGATACCAAGTTTCAAACCTGTATGACCTTCAGAAGCACCTTCAAGTTTGACCTGCTTCGATGTTTCAGCTCTTGGCTTGACCTCAGCACTGCCAGATCCACATAAGGTGCCATCAGGAGAGTGCCATTGTGCAAGATCACCAAGTTCTCCGCACTCACTTTCACTTTTAACCTTTGCACGCCAAGAACCATCAGGCTTGACCTCAATCTCTGTAATATCTTCTCCACAATTCCTCATCTAAATCACGGATAATCAACATTATCACACAGATATCATCTACATAAATAGAGAACCACAAGGCACTCACTTTGGATGTGATGCGATTAAAATAAGGATCAATTATAACATTCTCCAATGTGTAGTTCTTCAGACAAATGGGGCACTGCCACTGCAATCACATTCACGTTCTTCAGACAAATGCTAGTCAAAATACTGGTACTTATAACTGGAAATGAACATGTTATAATAGTTGCTTGCCTTTTTAGAACGTTGGTTCAGCTCCACAAAAACTTCAAGATCAAAACAACCCATATGAACACAAGGTTTAAACCTTCCTGCCACCTTCATTCTTGAACCACTCATCTGTCACAGGAAAACATAAAAAAAGAAAGTTAGATATAATTAGATTTAGAGCAAATCCAAGAAGGGTGCAATACTGAAATATTGTTAGTCCAATCCCATTAACACTTTTTTTTTTATTTGATAGGAAAAGGGCCTCGTTAAAAAACCCCCTTCTTAACCGTCAAGCTACATAGGTATCTCAAAGGACATTGGAAGGAGAAAAAGAGTGCCCAAATTTTATTACTAAACAGAAAATACATCCAGGGTAAAACCCATCTTAAATACAATCCTTCCCCACAAAACAAAACCTCTACCCTCAAAAAACACCCAATCTACACAACAAACCAGAAGCACCCCACATTACCCCATGCCCGACTTAGCTAAACTATCTGCTTCCGGATTAAAACATCTCTGAACATGCCTAATAATCACATTATAATCCAACACGCGCTTGGCAATTTCCTGAACCAGATGAACAAAAGCAGCAGGACTTGCTTCCGGATTTTTAATCCAATTCAAAGCATTGGATGACACTTTCCAAGATAAGACGCCCCTTCTCGATCCACTCTGAATCCAAAAAAAATTCAGACCAGCTTGAATTGCTTTGAGCTCAGCAAGAATCGGAGGCCAGGTCCATACGCATACAAGAACCCCAACACTTATGATTAGCATCCCTAAGAAGTCCATTGATACCATTGTACCTCCAATCACAACTTACAGCCCCATCCACATTCACTTTAAAAAAAACCCAGTGGAGGGGGACACCAATAGGGCGAGCAAGGAACTTTCTTCGTAAGACCAATGTGCAAATCAGCCAAAGTTAGATCTCCCACAAGACAATCTAGGAGAAAAGGGAAATTGGACTCCTTTGCCGAAAACCAAGAAGCACCCTATATCTGGCCAAGAAAAAACAGTAGAGTTTGATCCAACCTTCCATTCTTAAAAACCATTTGGTTTCGGCATTTCCATGCAATCCACATTACAGCACTCGGGATGAATTTCCAAATCTCAGATTTCGGAAGTAAATCAAACCAAGAATACATAAACGCCTTGGGATTATTAGGCAAGGTTGTATATACATTCCACAACCTTAGAAACCACACCCATACTCCCCAAGCTATACTGCACGAGAAGAACAAATGAAAAATAGACTCGGGCTCCAAACCACACAACGGGGCAAAGAGGATCCTTGATCCCACTTACACCACCTCTAATTATAACAGATTTAACAGCCATCTTCTGGTGAAAAAACTGCCATAAAAATGTCTCCACTTTGGGAGGTGCAATTCCAACCCAAACAAGTTTCGACCAAGACAAATCCGGAACGGATAGATGATAAACTAAGTTAATGCACGATTTAACCGAGTATACACCCTCTCCTCCAAACACAACAATCATCAGCGACAGATCCAATACTAACATTATCCAACATCGACAATAACTCAATCCATTGATCAACTTCCCAATCCAGTAGATTTCTCCTTATTTGGATATCCCAGAACCATCTCCCATTGTTTATAAAACCAAAATCCGCAATAGCCCCATCCTTATTGACCAAAAGGGCGAAAAGCCTGGGAAATTTCACCTTCAGAAATGCTGCAGTGCCATCTATCGTGCCAAAACAGAACGAAATTTCCCTTTCCAACTTGCAAAAGATGACTGTGGAAGCAAAGACCAAAAGCATCATTCGACCAAAAGTTATTGATACTCCCTTCCAAAGCCAAGAAGAATGGGAAGACAAATTATTATCCAACAAAATCGACCTTCTATCCAAATTGTACTTGCAACACACCATCCTCTTCCACCAAGACTCCCTTTCGCTACCAAATTTCCATACCCATTTCCCTAATAAAGCCCTATTCATCATATTTAAATCTGTGATACCCGAACCCCCGTAATCTTTTTGTTTGCAAATTGTCGACCAATTCACCCGGTGAATTCGATTTTTCTGAGCTGAGCTCCCACACAAAAAATTAGCCAGAACTGAATTCAACTTCTTCGAACACCGGAAGGCATTTTGAACAAATACATATAATAAATCGGCAGCGCATTTAGGTCAGCCTTCACTAAAACAACCCTTCCAGCAAGGGATAACATCGCTGCTTTCCACCCAGCCAACTTCTGATAAAATTTCTGAAAAAATCAACTCCCATAAAGCTTCCGAGTTCCTCCTGGAACAAAAGGGGAGCCCAAGATACTCCGTCGGAAAAAACCCAACCAAACACCCAATTGATTTTGCTCATTCTTTGACAGTTGATTCCTCCAAATTAATACCAAATATCTTACTCTTCGATAGATTTAACTGCAGCCCTGTACACATCTTGAAGACAACAAAAATACTCTTAATATTCTTCAATTGGCCTTTTGGTGCGTTACAAAAAATTAGCAAATCATCAGGGAATTGCAGATCAGAGAACGAGAAAGAACTATTAGCGCAACTGGTCTGAAATCCATTAAACAAACCCAACTTTACCGCCTTCGACAACAAAAGGTTTAGCAACTCTCCCACTAAATTAAATAACAACGGAGATAATGAGCATCCTTGGCGTAATCCCCTAGATATGTTGAAGCTTTCTGTAGGAGATCAATTTACTAAAACTGAAATAGATGTTGAGGATAGACACTTAAAGATCCAAGAACGCCATCTCTGCCCGAACCCCATATACTCCATAATTTTGATCAAGATCGCCCAATCAACTTAATCGTAAGATCTTCTGAAGTCCACTTTAAAAGCAATACCTTTCCACCCTTTCCTCCTCTAGTAATCGATTCCTTCATTTGCTATAAAGGAGCAATCACAAATCTGCCTCCCTGGAACAAACGCGAACTGAGAAGGGTCGATCAGCGAATCTATACACATCCTTAGTCTTCTTGATAACACTTTCGACAAAATCTTATACAATCCTCCAACCAAGCTAATGGGCCTATACCCCTCCAAGCCAACCGGATTAGACTTCTTCGGAATCAGCGTGATAAACGAGTGATTCACACCTTTTCCTAGCTTCTTTCCCGAGTAAAAATCATTGAAAAATTTCAATATGTCCTCCTTCAAAGACGACCATAATCTTTTAAAGAACCCCATGTTTAAACCATCCAGTCCTGGTGCCTTGTTGCTATCCGACGAAACAATTGCCTCCCAATTTCCTCCTCCGAAAAGCTCATTTCCAAAAAAGAACACTGCTCCTTGGTTAGCTTAGTGAAAGGCAGGTTCATATCCACCACCTCTAATGTTGGCTTCAAGTTGTATGCTTTCTTAAAGTACCCAAGAACGCTAGATTTTATCTGATCCAGGTCCGAAACCATCTTACCATCCACTTCCAAAAACTTTAGGGCTTTAACCCTTCCGCTATTAAAAGCACACTAGTGAAAATATCTTGAATTCCGATTGCCATCCTGAATCCACTTCGCCCGAGATTTCTGAAACCAGATTTGTTAATCTTTTTACACAAAGACCACAACTCTTTCTTAGCTCTCGTAATGGACTCCATCAAAACCAAAGAAGACCCCTGTTGTGCTTCTGCCTCCAATTCAGAAATAGACTTCTCTAAATTCACTATCATTCTGGGCAGCTTCAAGCGACTCTGGTTGACCAGCTTTTGATTGCTTTCTTTAATTCTTTGAGAATATTTTCAATTCCTCTCCTCTTGTCCCTCTTCACCTCCTTTATTTTCGATTCCAACATGTCTTGAAATCCCACCTCATCCATAAGATAGTTAAATAGCTTAAAGGGTTTTGGACCCCAATTAACCTCACTTCTTTCCAACACAATTGCATTATGATCCGATAATGACTTTGGGAGTAACACCTGAACAATATCTAAAAACATCACCAGAAAATTAGCATTCACTAAAAACAGATCAAGTCTAACAAAAGAAGGGGCTTCCCTATTGTTACTCCACATGAAGCTTCCTTCAGCCAATGGTAAATCCACCAACTTAGCCTGAAAAACGAACTCCCTGAATAACCTCAATGAACGCAAATTTTGAGATTTTCCAATTTTCTCCTTCTGAGACAAGTACGAATTAAAATCGCCTCCCATGCACAAGGGGCAATCCACTGCACCCATGAAATTGAGCAGTTCCTCAAAAAAAACCTCCTCCGACTCAACAGTAGGGCCATACACGTTGACAAAGAAACATTTGTCTTTGTTGTCCTTGAACTTTCCTTTAATTGCCACAAACCGTTTAGAAATTTCTTGCACCTGAGAGTCGAACCAATTTTCATCCCATAGGCTCAAAATTCCTTCAGAAGACCCTTCTGAATGTGACACAACGAACCCACTTAGATTCCTCCCCGTAACTTTCTCAACATAGCTGGTCTCACCAATTCCACTTCAGTTTCTTGCAAAAATAAAACAGATGGTTTCCTGTTGATAACAAAACTCCTCACGCCCTTACCTTCTCCTTCCTCCCCAAGCCCCTATTGTTCCACGTTACACACGATAACCTTACCATGAAACATCAAAACTTACACCTGATACAAAGATGTGAGATTAATTCCCACCATCCATACCCCTGCTTTTACTCATCTCCGAAAATTTCTTGGCAAAGGCGTTCTTTCCTCCCCTAAAAGTTATACCCATCATATTGCTAACCTGCCAAGTGGACATTAACTCCTCATTCGCTTCAGGATCTTTCACCAGAGAGCCTTCCACCTCCGATTCCACTCTGATCTTCTTCTTGTTTGATCTACTATACACTCTGTCATAGAACACCATCTCTGTCCTATCCATTGTACCACTTCTTGTACAGCTACGACTCGAGAGAGGGGATGAAGATCTTCCGATTAAAACCCTATGTTGTGGACTATCGAATCCTCCTAAAACAATTCCTCCCCCACGTAAAAAACCATTTTTTATTTGAAGCATCTCCACCTCCTATCGGATTATCAGCCCTGATCTGAAGTCCTTCAAATTCGTCCCGCTCCAAATCCACTTGAGGCAAGGCCCGATCATCTCTGCTTACCAAACCCACAAAGAGCTATGTTCACTACAAGCCCAGAAGGTTTAATTCTCAAAATGGGAGAATTGGGCTCACTATTTTCCTCAAATTGGGATTGTTTATTAAAAGTCGGGTTCATAATATTCCTCAGACCAAGACCCTCATAGTCCCCGATAGGATTTCTCCCAATATCAAGGAGATCTGAAACCCCGTTATTAATAAGTTCTCTAACTCTATTCTGCATCAATGATTGTTGTTCCCCACTGCCGCCTTCAATTCCAATTGTTTTTCTCTCTTCAAGCCACATGTCCACCCTTATTCGTGTTTCCTCAAATGACTATTCAATTCCATCTTCCACCAAAATCGTTTGACCACCGTCCTCATCCTCCGGCGATGCATCCTCATTCAAAAAATCATCTGAAGCCCCTTCAAGTGCCTTTCCTAGAAAATCACTCGGTTTTTTGAACACCGAACCTAGCTTAATTATCACCTTAAAGGATCTCCCATATGATCCTAAAGTGATCATTTTCGGAATGTCAAAAGGGCTAGCCACCCTCACCAACAATCTCGCCGCCGACAAATCCTCTCTATTCTTGGTAAACTCTTGAATGCAAACCAACAACCCCCACCTCCCAGCAAGCCTCTCCAGGAACGATTCGTGCCAACATAAAAGTGGAACTCCATACAATTCAATCAAGCAGTACGCCATTGGGATTCCATCTTCATTCAGAAAGGGAGCCAGCCAGTCAAACCAGAAAAACAACTCATCTTTCTTATTATTCCACGTCTTCAATAACTCCTCAACCGACCTGAAAGTGATAATACAAGAGTTCCATGCATAACCCCAGCTAGGACCTTTACTTCGATTCCATCACTGGACAAAGCCTTTTGCACCAATTCCAACTCAAAGGATGATTTAACGATCCCTATTAAAGAGCATTTCATCCAACTCGACTCATCTGGAAGGATACGCATCTCCCAAACATTCCTCATCCCTGTTGCAGCTTGCATTTTACCCCCTCAATTCTCCCGGGTTTCAGGTTCATCCCTCAACCTTCTAGCCAAGACCAGTGCTTCTTTGTAAGATCTGTCATCCCTTATACTTCTCGGAGACTCGACTCCCTATCTAATCCTCCTTTTTTCACCTTCAGTTGACTTCTTTGCTTCCGCCTGGGATTTACCTGCATCAGTTGCCCTTCTTTGAGAATTCTGATATTTAGCAGCCCCCACTGAGACTCTCCTCCCATTAATCCACGTTCCATTGACATTCTCAATAGAATTCCTCAAACCAGCCTCATTAGCAAACTGAACAAATGCGAACGTAGAGGCTTTGTACTTTGGTTTGTTCTTAACACTTGGAATAAAGACCCTAACGACTGGACCCTGATAATGAAATAGTTCCCTTAATGCTCACCTTGAAACTCTCTTGCTCAGATTATCCACAAACGTTGTCCATTTCTCACCGGAGGAAGAGTGACTTTTCAAGTTCTCTATCGCTCCGTCTCTACTGTTGTCTCTCATGCTCGCTCTCCAATCCCATTAACACTCAACATTGTAGAAGAAAACAATGAGGAAGGAGACTTATCCCCTCTTACATGATAAAGTTAGATTCAACTTAGAATAAATACACAGTTGACATGGATGTATATGTAAACATGCTACACAAAGCGAAAAAAATAACATTAAAAAAGGTCATAGGATAAGCACATAAATATATGGAACCCAAATGGTGCTATGATAAAGTTAAATTCTTTCTGGAACAAACCAAAAGAATATGACAACACATATTATCCATGTAGACTAATAAATCTGTCAAATAGGTCTGAAGTTCACCAAAACAAGCCTGTTATAGTATTGGTTCCAATGGTTGGATGGGAACACATGCAACTTTACATAAACAAGCAAGATAAATAGCAGCAGCACCTAAATAAAGGATTAAGTGCATTTTTTTGACATTATAGCCTCAACTAGAATTGGCTACAAAATACACATAACATTAGATGCTTCACTTTTAGGCTATAGACATTTTATAGCAACTTCACTGGTACAAAAGTGATACTTAGAAGCATATGATCCACAAATACCACAAGGCACAATATGAACTGATCAAATATTTCAAGAATGATGCCCAAGAATTAAACATTAAATATCCTCAACATAAGAAAGATGACACTTGATAGTAAACTACTACTAATGACTCACAGGGCAACATAGGTTGACTCCAAAAAATTCAGCAACAACTTCTAGATCACTGTCAGTATCACCATTGTCTGTTGTTGTTCCACCACCAATACAACGACAAACCCGAGCAATAGCATCTTCGAAACGTTCACCATCAGTCTCCTTTGGAATCATATTAATTATCTAGGCCATGCCACAAGAAATATGAAATGAACACAAAGAACACCAAATATAGATAGGTAAGTTTTAGTTGCACAGAAATGGAGTAATTTGCTTTTCAAATCATAGAACTAGCATAATACTAACGTTAGTGGTTCAACTATCATTTATCTCAAGTTAAAACTTGATATCAATGTACGAAATTCAGGGGTAAATCTCCAACCATAGATATTTGAAGTTGTTATCATACCTGTTGAAGAGTTCGACGTTTAACAATTCTAACTCCAAAACAGAAAACACGAGCATCGCATCCAGTCAAAGTTATCTTATTAATTCCATCTATAGTACATGGAGTTATCTGACAAAAGCACAGATAATGAAACAAGTGCTTAGAGAATTGATGTTCTGTAACATATAAAAATATTAACAAGATTACAAGGAAAGTGCAATAATCTGGCCTGCCAGCTTCTCCACCTATATCAATCACATTCTTGTGCATGTAAAGGTTAATTCTAGGGAAAATATGATTCCATATACATCAAAAGTAAAAAGTAAAACCAAAATTCATCTTGTTCATAGAAGGGAAAGAAACTCACAATTGAACCATCATCACGGCCATTAGCCCCAAGCAACTGCGAGCCGGGTCTATTAATAGCACGAACAGGTACACCTGTTTAAAACGATTGTCAGTCTGTCACTTGTAGGCCCAAAAATTGATTACACGTAAAATATCAAAATCGAGACATGCATAGAAAATACTCAAGGACAAGATGTTAGCAACAATGTTTCAATTAGAAAAATGAGGGAAAAAACCAAGCATGCTCCTATATTTTTTCTTATTTTTCTTATATCTAAGCATGCTTCTCAATGACAAGTGCAATAAACAGTAGCTAGCAATTACGTTGTAAAAGAAAAACATTAATAGCCATACCATTGACCTGTAAATCAGCATATTGAGGCCACTGCATCCTGAATGGAACTCTGTCATTCAGAAGTATGCACCATGCCTATTTGACAAGATGAGAAACAAAAAAATCAAGATAGATAACCAAAACCAATACCATCAAACTCTTAATATTTTTTACACAAACCAACCTGGACATCATAATCTTGTTTTATCAACAAGTCCTTGTCTGCTCTCGTAATTTGGAATGTTTTCTCCACACTTTGCATTGGATTTGTACTGTAAAATGGTGGATCTGAATTACTAAACTAACAAACTAATAAGGGAAAAGTCACTAAGCATTACATATAAAGCATACAGTGTTAACATAAATGCACTGGATGTTTATGGGGGAAGAGAGAATTTACTATTTTTCATATAGTTCACTCACCCATTAGTAGGGATACTTGTAATAGCCAACTTCACTGGATATAAAGGGTGCGTAATAGTAAGCCAAAAACTGCAATTGGGAAAGACATTTTGGATTAAAATAATGCAACATAAATTTTTTTGATTAAATATCAAGGTCTAATAGATTGAACAAAATTTGAGAACCCATTAACTTATGTCCAGTAAAAGATTCCCTAGATGCATCCATATAATCATAGGAAGTACAATGCAAATACAAAGTATTGTTGCATGCTGTAAAGGTTGCTATAGAAAAAATATATAATCCAGTTAGCATTAAAATACTAGATAATGCTTATTCAGTGGTAGAGTTATTACCTTTTTAAAAATCCTATAGCTACAAGCAGTACTTTGATTTTAAAAGAATTCCTAACAGGAAATCGAAGGTTCTTTTATATATTTCCCATCACAATTCCTAATCTTTACTATTAATGTGTAAAACCACCAACTAAATCATATCACTGAGATATTATATACAAACTCCATGATTAGAGTACATAACCATAATAATAATAAACCATAAAACTAAGAAAATATCCCTCATTTTATCACAAAAAATGGCTGTCCCTTTTTCCCATATGTATGGGGTAAGGGGGAGGTAAGATTGATCATTTAAAAAAATATATTGCATTTTACGAACACCAAAAAAGAATAGCTCCTACTTTTTCTCAAACTAATCTATTTTTCCTTTCATTTGCCTACTTAGTTTGGTGGCACAAAAGCAAGCAGATACTTACAAGTACTGAATCTTAATTTATATTCTGACTATCACAAGGGTTCAACCAGTAGTCAATCTTTATCCAACCAAATTGCACCATTAGTTTCTTTCATGTGAATATTGCAAGATGAATATAAAGACAGGACACATTTAATTAGATATGAAATACAATAAATACATTGGTGTATTTCTATATCTGATATTGAATGTCAATATTATAACCAAACCATAAACCAGCCAATAGCTTCAAGGTCAATTTGAAGTAATCACATGCACACAAGAAAACACAAATAAACAGGGAGAGACATACGGATCTGCTTGACTTAGTCGACAAATCTCGCAATAAAATTGATCAGGAAGTGGTGGATTTCCCTCCATAGGCTTCTCTGGGATTACAACACAGCCAATATGCTGCCGCACTTGGCATCTTCGATCTTCACACTATTGTCAGAGCAAGGAAGAATTAGAAGAAGAAAAAAACAGCAATTCAGTTTAAGGTAGAAGAAAGGGCAATGTTGTAGTGGATAACAAAAACTGTCATCTTCAGAATCCATGATTATCTTCTCAATATGGAGAAGAGCATATCATGCGGACCAAAATTAAGAACAAAACTAATATGTTTTGACCACAAAAGTATGATTCCTTAACATCACTATAACAATAATCACTAAAAATGCAGCACTAGAACAAGAAGTTCAAAAGCAGTGTAGCTCATATAACTCCATCAGCACAAGGTTCATATGTAAGTACATAAGCATGAAAGGCTGGCATTAATCAGGGGATATGTTGTCAAGTCAAATCAAATGCAACGAATCAAATGCTTCATCATTTTCCAAAACATGGATTCATATGATACCTATTATTGCAAAGGCAACCGGAAAAGATGTCTACTTGTTATGGTAGATGCCAACTTTAGGAAATGAATTGCTCCACAAGACTCTTAAGGTAAAGAAAATCCATTAGAAATTTAATGTGTCTGAATCTATAAATCCGGGTTTCCGAGCAAATCCAACAATGACATTGCCAACTAACTATTTCCATCTTTTTCTTGCGTGAGATACATCCATAATTTTTACTAGACAGTTTCCCCAAAGTTAACATTTAATTCATTAAGATACATAGAAATACGAAAACTTTGCATCAAAGTGTACAAATCAAGGAGGAATAAAATCACAACCATAAATAAAGCAACATGACATTGACACTTACAAAAGGTAGCCACCCAACACTTCAATCACACTTGTAAGATCAATCATCATTAAAATAAAATAGTGAGGCAAAGAACAATAAGTTCATTATCATCACCCTGAGAATGTTCTCTGTCTCCAATGAACTTCCACAGGGACAACGAACTTTAATATCTAATTTAACAGGTTCATCTATTTCCCCTTTAACTTTAACATTACTACTGTCTGACATGCCCTCTCCCTTTGATGCCAATTCAGTGGTTGCAGAAACCTGCATCTTCCTGAGGACAAGAAATACACTTAGGAAATTAAAAAAAAAAAAGATAATTTAGAGGGGAAATAAAAGTAATACAAAGCATAGAATAATCTTCAAATGGATAAATAGATGCACTAGCATCATCTTATCTCGATGGTAAGTCGTAACTTTTTCACATGGAAAAAGAAAAAAAAATTAATTCCACGGAAGTGTTTTCATCAAACCTTCAGCAGAGCTAAATCATAAATGTAAAGTAAACCTGTAAATGTCATCAACAAGTTTTGCCACATCTTCCTTCCCCACAAGAGCCCTCTTTGCCCACATCTTCGCAACTGGGAAAGAACAAATCCAATTATGCTCAGTTTCTGAACATATTAAACAAAATTATAAGGGCCAATTTTGAACTATCTAGAATCTAATGACAACAAAATTCAGGAAATAATACAATTCTACTGACAACATACTTGAATGCAACCCCTTCCCTCCCTCCCTCACCTAAACACTGCACTAATAAAACACTAATAATGAAGCTAAAAGTTTAGAATGCCATTGGATGCAACAATAAATCATATCATAATGAAATGAATGAATAAAATGGTTAAGTACTATCATATCTAGAATCCAGCGAATCCACATTGAAATCAGGCAAGAAAACAGCTTCATAATTATTTTCCTCCATTAAAAATGACTAAAATATTAATTCTACCAACTGCTGAAACTCATACCACTGTACAGCTTATATATATTAAATGTCTGACAATATAACTCTGAGTATGTTACACACACAAGTATATCAACGACTAAATACTAGCATTCTAACAAACTACATCTCAGGCTAGCAGGGTGATACAAGAAATAATAAATGACTGAAAGATAAAGTAGCCCAAGAAATGACTATGGTAATTATATATTGTCAATTTAAACGAGGAATAATTTTTTACCTTGTTCATTAGAAAGGGCGCCTAATATCCTCTCAACAAGGTCCTAAAATGAAATTATACAAAGGTAAAAATAATCATACACCATGAAGGTGCAAGTTGTAATAAAAATGCAAATAACTGAAAGCAAACTAAAATGCATTATCTTTAGCTACCACCTGCTTCTTTCCCTGCTTTGAGAGACCCAATTGAGTGAGAACATCCTTGAGTTCTTTTATTCGGAAATATGCCAACTTATCCTACAAGGCATTATCATTTTGATTAACCTCTCAACATATAAATTGGGGAAAACATCAACAGGTTGGCATCAATCTTAACAAGTAGCAACTAGAAACATACCACTTTATCTACTAAAAAATACAGCTAAAGAGACTACCGTGGTAAACATATAAATCCCATTATTTAAGTGGCTGCATAAAATGGAGTTAGAAAAGCTGAGTGACACTAAACTAAACACTCCCGTGTGCACAATTAATACAGATTCCACCAGGAAAAAGAAGCTGAAACCAACTAATGCATACATAGTAAGCTTAACTTACTTGCAAACTCAAAACTAGGTTCACAAAGCCACCTAAGCCGTACCAAATGTTGCATAAGGAGAAAACTCCTTATACAATTACCAGCAGCCCAAAAATCAAAATTACGGTGCAAAAAAAAAAGATCACGGACAATAGTTGACCCAGTTTATTAAATTTGGTAAAAAATCCCCAAAAAGGTATTAAATTTGGTAAAAAAATCCCCAAAAAGGTATACAAAAATGTACTCTTAGCGGAAATTTTAAAGAGCTAAGTCATATGTAAAAAAAAACTCCAGGAGTAGTCAAAATAGTAAATAAAAAATATATATATACATAAAAATAAAAAGTTAAATACCTTGCAACTGGCAACCAAATCCATGTTCAGTTCACAGTCTGCAGACAAACAAAAAAACAGTAATAAAAAACTTAAACACTCAAAAATTACGAATCAATAAACAACATAATCAAAACCAAAATTAAATTAAATTAAATGGACCAATCAATCAATCCACAGAAAAAGAGAATCAAAACGACCAGATTAAACGAACTTACGAAGCTTCTGGTGATGAGTAAAAGGGAAAATTTTGATGAATTGAAGATAAAAATGGGGAAATATGGATCGGAGGGTGGAAGACGCTGATTTTTCCTTCTGGGCGAAGCAGTCCCAACCAGAACGAAGTAACCTTTTGAAAGAAAATAAATTTACAAAAGTGACCGGACTTATCGCCGGCTATCAAATCCGGTTTTTTGACGGCTTTCAGTGAAGTTGCGTGTTGCCGTGTTCAATTTGTAACCCACGCCCTCTTTTTCTTTTTTCTTTATGTTGTTTTATTATTTGGGCAAGATTGGACTGCAATTAAATGTAGGTTGACCGGCTGGAAGCCAGAAAGAAAATCGAAATGGCGTTTTATGTAGGATGGTAAACGGGTACAATTTTGTGGATTTTGTATCGTGTCTATTCTAATTAGAGTAGAAATGTGTATAATTTTAGTGGGTCTTGGGCGGGTGTAGATTTAGAAATTGGAACTCATCGTGAGTAGTGGGCGGATAATGGGTTTGAGACCTTATCTACCCCGCATCTGCCTGCCCCACATCCGTCCACTCAGTTAAATATATATTAAATTTTGGATCATTATGAATTTAGGTGTAATTTTAGAGACTAATTTATAAATCTTAATATTGTATAAGATATAACTTATAATTTAATCAAATATTATGGATAAGTTAATGCATAAATTTTTTTCTTTCAAACCTCTTGTTAGTACGCCGATCTTTCAAACCTCTGGTCTTCACTCTACAGCTTATTCAGGTATGTTTCTTCTCTTTTTACTTGAAATTTAATTTTTGTAAGAGTCATTTCCGTAGTCATTTCGTTTTAAGCTCCTCTGCATTTCGTTTTAAGAGTTTAATTTTTATTTGCTCGTAATAATTTTTAATTATTTTTTAGATTCATCTCAATGTTTGTTTTAAGCTTAATTTCTTAATGTTCTGCAAATCAGTATCTTGTCACTGAGCACCTACGTTTAGGCCAACAGAGTTATATTGTTGCTTCTCAAACCTCCATTTTTAACGCCACTGAATAGAATTAAGTGTCAAGAGATTCAATGTATTACTTGTGCTATATTACTTTCCCCTATTCTTATCCCCGAAATTAAATTTATATTTTTTTATCTTTTACTAACTGTAGAGTTTTCATTAAAATAATGACATAAAAAATTTATATAGAGTCAAGTAAGCATCTTTTCTTTTTTTGGATGTGTCAAATAAGCTTCTTTAGTTCAGTATAGTAATGTTATTTGTTTTTTTGCTTTTAATCTCTACCGAGAATCATGTTTTAGGCACCTCCTAAACTATATCTTGAAATAAAACACCAAATTTACTACTTTTCTTACTGTTAGCATATAAATAGAGGAGTAAATGAATGTTCTACCCACATCTTTTTCATTTATTTATGAAAGTAAATAGAATGAAGAGAAATATTTGTAATGATATGATTGTCTAATCGTTTATGGTTAAAAGGCTGTAATTTTTTTTGCTCATTTAAAAATGGTCTATGTTGTATTCTCCTTTCTGGAGAGCTGTTATTTTAGGAGGTCTTAAATCATTTTAGTTTTCTTCGACAAAACTTAATTGTTCTCAGCTTTTGTTTTGGTTAAATTTGATGATATTTTCTTATGATTTTGATGGAATAGTTTAGTTCAAAGAAAGCAGATGATAGGGAAATATAAATATATAATGTCCTTAAATCATATACGTGAAATTCAATTGCCCTTTCATGTTTTACTAAAAAACATAGTTTTCTTTCTTTTCTAATATAATATAGATTTTCTTGTTGGATAATATAGTTATAATTTATAAAGCAAGCCGAAGATACGAGAAGTTTATTGCCTAACATATTTATTCAAGCAAAACATGGTCTGCAAGCCCCATACTGAGTTATCAACGATCGTTAGCCTGAGCTTGAATTACGAAACAATACACACATATATGATGCATTCCCTATTAGGTAGGTAGTGGGTGTGGGGATGGATTTGAGAATGTATCCGCGTGGGCGGGTGTATATTTGAAAATTTTTACCCATCATGGGTGGTGGGCGGGTAGTGAATTGAAAAATATTAAGTAGGTATGGGGATAGGGGAGGGGATATCCGCACCCGACCCGCCCGTTTGTCATCCTTACTCCTATGAGATAAAAAACAAATCTAATCGAATTTTAGTCTTGTTTTTTATTTATTGATCATCGACCTCATAGTTTGAAATTTCACATTTTGTCGTTAACTTTTATTTTCCTTTAATTTTATAATTGAATTTATGCTGCTGAATTAGATAAAATAAAAAGAATATGTGTATAATAATTTAAATATTTTTTATTAAAAGTTAAATACTTGTATTTGTCGCAACCGCCTTTCGGGTGAGCCCGGAATTTGGGTTCGACTTGGAATAAAATATGTTGGAGTCGCCACCGATCATTTATTTTTTGTAAAAAATTTGGTTGATCGGATACCATCTTACCTGATCTGCGTTTTACCAGAAATATGTCGGATTCGGGAGTCGGTTACAGTCAAGGAAGGATTAGCACCCTTGAACTGTCCTTTCGGTACCATTTAATTTATCGGTTATCTTAATTGCGAAAATTACATTTTAATTGAAATTTAAATATTCGATCATAATTATTTACCTTTTGATCAATTAAAATTATCCCTAAAAAATCATAAATAAAGTAAAAAATAAAACCAACAAAAAACAAAGAGTTAGTATCAATGATCAAAATATAAAAATAAATAAATAAATAAAAGAGAATGAAAGAGAAAATAAATTAGAAAAATTAATATGCATAAAAATATAATATAAGGCCAAAATATATTAAAACAGTGTGCATAAAACACAGAAAAATACTTATAGTAAACATATAGTTAAGCACATAATATATATATATATATACACAAGGATCGTTAAACAATAAATAAACGCACATTTATTACATTAATTTAATGTTAATAAATAATATGAAAATAATTAATCAATACATAAAGAAACCATGCACACCAGAACATTGCAGTAGAAGAAATATCCTTGAAAATTTCCAACATTCACTTTGAAGTGATTGGTGTTAAGAATTATTTTTTCCTTTATACCCAAAACTACGACCCGAATAACTTTTTTTAGGCTCTAATCCTACTTTGATTGCTACCAGATCATATCAAGAAGTACAAGTGTCGACAAAGAAATGATGGACTTTCATGTATAACAATGTAACATTCAACATAAATATACACGTAAAAATTACTACACACATATATACATGGATAAGTCATAAAAAAATTCACGTAATGTTTTAAGATGATAGACAAACAAAATAACAGGGATCTAATGAGCAATAAACCACCAGTACTAAAATACTAAAGATGCTGACTAAAATAAATATGGAGCTAAACATAATTTCAAAACATAAATTGCATAAAGTTATATTTTAGTAATAATGAGGGACCAAAATATGAATATTCAAAATTAGTAGCCAAGAAAATGAACATGAAAACAAATAATAGCAAATACTAGAGGACTAAAATAAAACACGAAATGAATAAAGAGCTTAAAATGGAATGTTGTACTTTCATTATATGACCTGATTGCAGTGATTACCAAACTTGAGAGACCAAATGCTATTTTCCCATGGGTCTCACGCCTGGAATCCCTTCCCCCTGATCGATTTTACAAGCCAACTTTCTCCCTCCTTTTGATCATTTTCATTAGGCTTTTATAGCATTTATTTTACATAACTTTTCCATAAAATAATAACAACTTGTGGTGTGATCATCATTCCGATTGGATCTCACATGCATCTTTATCTTTGTGAGTTGGCATTGGCAGGAAAACAAGTGATAAGTGTTCTTGTGGTAGCCAGGCTGGGCGACAATGGCAAGTGGGAGTTGTGGTGGCATCAAGACTTTGAGGCAGCAAGTTATTCAAAGTTAGATGAGCTGGGTCGTTGGGATGAGGACAAAAATCTGGGGTCTACAGCTGCCCCTCTTTGCACATTCTTGTGTTAACAAGAATAGGGCAAAGACGAAAAAGACAACCAGTTTTTGTCCGATCTTTTTTTTTGTTTTGAGACTTGATACATTTGTTGGGGAGTAACTGTAATTGGGCTTCAGACTGGGCATGGAATTGGGCCTTGGTCTTCTTCTCGATTAAAGACCTCAGCTTGAAAATTCTTCCAGAAGATAGTTCCTCGTTGCTACCATGCAGTTGATATGCCTCTGAGATGAATAAAATCAAACTCAAAAGTCTTGATGTTGGTGGATAATCCTTCTAGCCTTGAGTTATGCTGCAAAAGATGTGTCTTTAAGCTGAGTGTAATCGAACTCAAAAGGTCTTTTGTTGACAGATAACCCTTCTAGCCTTGAGTTATGCTGCAAATGACGTGCCTTGGAACTGAATGAAATCGAATCTTGAAGGTATTTGATGACAGATAACTCTTATCAACTTAAGCTATACTGCAAATGATATTCCTTTGAGTTGAATATAATTGAACTCGAAGGTCTTTTATTGACAGATAACCCTTCTAGCCTTGAGTTATGCTGCAAATGACGTGCCTTGGAGCTGAGCGTAGTCAAACTCGAAGGTCTTTGGTTGGCAGATAGCCCTTCTCGACTTAAGCTATACTACAAATGATGTGCCTTTGAGCTGAGTATAATCGAACTCGAAGGTCTTTTGTTAGCAGATAACCCTTCTTGCCTTGAGCTAAGGTGCAAATGAGCACGATATCCTTCGTCGTGAAGTTGAAATCGTGAATGACCCATTCATTGTGAAGTTGAGCCTCGAATTGGATATCCTTCGTCGTGAAGTTGAAATCCAAGGGTTGCATTGATGCTGGTGGACACGATATCCTTCATCGTGAAGTTGAAATCGTGGATGACCCCTTCGTCGTGAAGTTAAACCTTGAATTGGATATCCTTCATCGAGAAGTTGAAATCCAAGTTAAGTTGTATTGTTTCGAGGCCAATATCATTCGTCGTGAAGTTGAAGTTGACTATGAAACTGGAAAGTTTATTGACAAACACTCCATCTCTGAGTTGGATATCATTCGTCCTGAAGTTGAAATCCAACCTAGAGATAGATGATGCTTGTGTGTACGATTCCCTTCGTCATGAAGTTGAAACCGTGGATTCGTGGGTACGATATCCTCCGTCGTGGAGTTGAAATTGTGGATGGCCCATTCGTCGTGAAGTTGAGCAACTTGAATATCTTTCATCGTGAAGTTGAAATCCAAGCTTGTGTTGTTTCGAGTCCAATATCCTTCGCCGTG